AATAAACCTTTAATTAACGAAGACTCTAAATTAATAAATCAACAAATACTTTTTCAGTTTTGTTGTTTATACATTTCATTTTATACTTCCAGTACATAGACTAACAACAATATTAGGTTATACTTTTGTTGCTAAGCGACATGACATAAAAAGCTATTGTTGGAACGTAGTGTTACCAAAACGCACTGGCTTTTCTATATATTAGAAATTGTTAATCTAACTAACTGATTTTTACTTATAATTATTGTATAAATACGTCACGAATTCATTTCATGATCTTCATTTTGATTGGCTCAAAAAGGAATTTACCGACGTGTGAGTGCCTGGACTGCACTTTTCTACCTCATTGTTGCTCAAAATTTATTTATTTCAGTTAGCTATGAAATGTGAGGTTAGGGTATATTATATTATGGGATGGGGTGGTAGTACTTGCCCCGTCACTTTTGACGGGCTATACGCTAGTATCTTAATATAAAGATACACGTCTATTAGTTCCGATTCTCGTAAAATGTACAGGTCTTTAAAACCTGTATTTATCGTACTGAATGAAGATTTCGGGTGAAATAAATTAGTAATCAAGAATATTTTTTACGTTTTAGTTAACCTTCTTGCAGTATGTTTAATATCTTTCAGGTAGCAGTAACACCATAAATGTTTAGCGTACAAAATTAATTACTCTTAGTAATGGACATCAACGTCATGAAGAAATAACACTTGTGTATTATAGCATTTGTTTCTATAGCACATTTCTGTTGTAACTTTGCAAGAGGAAATTGATAATTATATTAAGAGGCATAGTGATTCACAGAAACAGGCTCCTTATTTTTAACATGTAATTACAGCCATAACTGCGTAGTGTACTTTTTTTGCTTTCTACACACGCACAGTATGTATGTGTAATTTAAAAAGTACCTGTTACATGCATCTGTCTGTTATTGTGATAATCATGTTGATATCATGACTACAAACTGTAAAAGGTTTATATAGTTAATTGCTGTTTCATTCTTACTTTTTGCGTGAATTTTACGTGTAAGTAGAATGTTAGTTACACGCGTGTCTTTCTAACAGTACAAGTTCCAGGTTGTCACGTGCTTTACAAATGATTGGTTGTATTTAAACGGTTACTGTATTTGTTGTACTCGAATCGGATGTGGGGGGGGGGGGGGTTGTTTTGTTGTTTGATGACATTATTTCGAAACCGTGGATGCCAATCTGTATGCTTATTAACATAAGTGCTGCTGTTTTAGTCGTAATATTCAAAATATAATGCTTTTAGGTCTGCAGAAAATTGGATTCGCAAGTATTTTACACTTACGTCAAAACATTACTTTTCAAGAAAAAAACAAACTACACACAACTTTCAACATTTGTTAATTATTTCACCAATTAGTTTTTACATGTATATTATCAGATTTGTTGTATGTTATTGACACCTGGGCGTCTTCAAAGAAACGTATGTAGCAAACAAAAGTTATTGTATTTAACAAAGTTCGTGTAGTAGGGTAGCGTGTATGATATGACTAACAGGACGTGTTTTCTTCGAATGAACATGTATTTAACAAAGTTTGTGTAGTAAGGTAGCGTGTATGATATGACTAACAGGACGTGTTTTCTTTAAATGAACATGCATTTAACAAAGTTCGTGTAGTAGTGTAGCGTGTATGATATGACTAACAGGACGTGTTTTCTTCGAATGAACATGCATTTAACAAAGTTCGTGTAGTAGTGTAGCGTGTATGATATGACTAACAGGACGTGTTTTCTTCGAATGAACATGTATTTAACAAAGTTCGTGTAGTAGGGTAGCGTGTATGATATGACTAATAGGACGTGTTTTCTTCGAATGAACATGTATTTAACGTGTGTAGTACAAAGGAGATAAACAGTGCAGTTTCACGGCATGTCAAGTGTTGTTATTCAATTCGCTAAGAACTATTATTTTAAAAAGTGATGGTGAAATAAACCTCATTTGTTGATTTTCTATAACTAGCTGAATTACTCATTCCCTGCACAGGTGTCCAAGTTACTTGAAATAGGTATTTATAAACACAGTGAAGTTACTTTAAAGAACATTTATTTAAAAAATTCAAAATATTTTAATTTTTATCTAAAACCTTTGAGTTTCAACACAAAAGTTACACAATTTAAATTAAAGCTTCTAGATATACCACATTGGCTGTTGTTCCTTCTGACAATATAAACAGGT